AATTAACGTTTTCATTGGTGCCGGCTGGGGTTGAACCTGGGTTGCTCGCGTATTGTGAAATTTACAGCGAGTGATTAGCCTCAGAGCTTCCACTTCATTAAGTAATTACAAGTAATTCATAAGCAAAAAATAATTACGTTATTAATCTTACTAATAGGTTAACACATTCAAGGTCGTAATAAAATCATCAAATATTTACATAAATTAACTTTGAATAAAGTTGAAATTCCCGTTGGCAATAAGCCATTAGGCATCACATTTTTTACACCGTTATTCAGTTATACGAACAATAGCATTGAATTTACGCAAATTAATTTCATAATATTATAAGGAAGATTTTTGGATATTAGAACGTAAAAGATGAACGTAATTAATTTTTTTTGCATTGCTACACAATAAGGTGAAAAAAAAAACACGTTATGTTTGCATTAGTAAATGAATTTGAATTTAATTAGTGTTATAGCACTTGTAGATTTTGGTCATCACCGTCCTTGGAGAGCGGAGCATCGTCTCTGTGTCACGAAGTGGTAAAAGTACAGTCAGTGTAAATGTGCTTTTAAACTGAATCAAATATACCTTTAATGGCGGCTCCACATTAGCGCCGTGAATTCACACGCGAATTCACGCCATAAATTCACGGCACATGTGCACTCCACATTGACGGGATGCTCAAAATCATGAAACCCGCCGCGAAACGGACGTAGAAGCTGCTGATGCAATAACTTTATTTTCTGAATGGCTACATAATACTATTTAGATGTCCAAAACAAGAAATGAAAAGAAGATGGTGTATGACTAAAATACATCGTCCGTACTCCATTGTACTCCGAAACTAACTGGCGTGGGGCCGTGAATGTGGATGTGTACGCGTGAACGGCGCGCAAATAATATAATAATAAATAATAATAAACTTTATTTGACATAAAATATTACAATAAATATTTCAGTGAATCCATAGGCTCCTAAACTAGTGTAAAACTGTGTTTCAGGAGCCAGTGGCTTCTCCCATAACATTGCATTATTAATTTATGCCATAAGATAAGGTACATTATAAGTTATTCAGCAGAACTACTTAAATCAAGAAAACAAAAATTAGTAAAGAACGGGCTACTCACTAGCGCATATCTGTTATGTATGTAGTTGTATTAATGTGTGCGTGCGTGTGTTGTGTGTGTGTGTGTGTGTGTGTGTGTGTGTGTGTGTGTGTGTGTGTGTGTGTGTGTGTGTGTGCGTGTGTGTGTGTGTGTGTTTTTGTCAGTAATAAAAACTAGTTAACATGTTTTCTACATCGTCATAATCAAGGTTTTTAAGCCATAAAAAATATACTTCTTAATAACATTATTATTGCACTTTTTACATTATACTCCTTATTCAGTCTGTTATATAGGTGTGGAACAATAAAATCAAACTGCTTTTGGGCGAATCTTGTTTTTACTTTGGGAATAGGACAACGGTCAAGCCTCGAAGATGATTTAGGCAAGTAAGGAACATTTTTTTGGTGATAATGGCGTAGACTTTCGTAAATAAATAATTTTCTAATACTAAGAACATTGGCTTTGTCATAGACAGCTGTTGTAGGATGTCTGAAGGGTAAGGAGAATAACACTTTCAGTACTGCACGCTGTGCACGTTCTGCAGTGATCAAGTAGGATTTTGCTGCAGTACCCCAAGCACAGATACAATACCTAATAATGCATTCACCAAGGGCTTTATAGGTTTGTAATGCTAATTTGTAGTCAACAACTGTTCTTAGAGTTTTAAAAACATATATGAGTTTTCTCAATCTTGTAGACAATGACATTATATGCATTTTCCAATTTATTTTATCATCAATTTCAACCCCAAGGTACTTTATTGAATCTACACGCAACAAAAAGGAACAGTCACACTGGTCAGATAGACTGCTATGATTGCATGGTATGTGTGAATTTTAATTCTGACGTCGGCATCAGGTCCTCCTGATGTTGTCTTGCTATAGCACATGAACTTCGTTTTGTTGATATTAAGGGATAAAAAGGTTATTTTCTAGCCATTGCGTCACTATAGAGAGACAATCTTCCGCCAGGTCTGTCACTTCTTGCCAATTTTTATCATGGACGAGTAAGACAGTATCATGTGCAAACATGAGCAAGTCAAGATTAGGAAAATTAATTTTGCACAGATCATTTATATATAAGAGGAAGAGAGGAGGCCCTAGTACACTGCCCTGTAGAACGCCGTAGGTGCATCCTGCACTATCACTCTCATGACCTTCTACCCGTACACGTTGTGATCTTCCGACTAGATAATCTGCGAACCAGTCACGAGCTATCCCCCTGATCCCCATATTCTCCAACTTGGCCAAAAGGATCGGAATCGAAACAGTATCGAAAGCCTTTTGGAGGTCTAAAAATACACCCATGCACTTGTATCCACCATCGAGGTATGTAGAGATTTTTCTAGTTAGCGTTAGAACTGCGTCTTCGGTTGATTTACCTTCTCTGAATCCAAATTGATTTTCACTCAGTAGATTATTAAACTCAAGATATCGAATGAGCCTCTTTTTAACCAACTTTTCCAACACCTTAGACAGAGTTGAAAGAATAGAGATAGGTCTATAATTTGTAGGACTATGGGGGTCACCCGCTTTATAAATAGGACACACAATAGCTTTTTTGAAAGCTGCTGGAAAAATGCCTGTTTCAAGACTCAAATTACATATATGTGTTATAGGTTCAGCGAGGAATATTATAAATGTCTGTAGTAATTTAGCTGTGATATTATCCCAGCCAGGAGCACTGTGCGATTTGAGTCCGAGGACAATGTTCCTGACCTCCACGGGATCAGTTGGTGTAAGGGACATAGAGCCAACTGGTGGGTTAGTTTTATTTATCAATAACGCAAGTTCACGATCAGAGGTATTCATCTTCTGTAGGGTATCTTTTGCAAGTATTTCACCGACAGAGGTGAAAAATAAATTTACTTCATTCAGCGACTTTGTAGGATGGTTGCTTATATTTAGTAAAGTATTAGAAGGCCTCTTTGCTACATTTATTATCTTCCACGTTCCTTTTGTATTTCCTTGATTTTTCATTAATTTATTTATATAATATTCTTTTTTTCAGATTTTTAATAATTTTGTTACACATGTTTCTATATTTTGTATACTTAACCTTTAATTCTTCATTATCTGGTAACTTTTTAGTTTTCATATGTAGATTATCTCTTTTTCTTATAGATCTTACCACTCCTCTTGTTATCCATGGTTTGAGAGGTTGGTGCTTTTTAGTAATAGTTTTGATTTGCGAGTTCTGTTTAACCAATGAATAAAGTTTATTCGTGAAAATCTCAGTAGCTGAATTTATGTTACTAATATGTAGCACATCATGCCAGTTTTCTCCCAGCAGTATTTCTTTGATCCTTTCATAATTAACGGTTATTTTTTTATATTTTAATATATCTTTACTAACACCAGCATTGTTTATATAAAGCATTATAGGTGAATGATCAGTTATTTGCTGTTCAAAAACAATAGTTTTCCAAGAGTTATAAATTTTGACCATAAAATGATCAATGCAAGTATTGACTCTAGTAGGACGGTCAATACCTTGTTTTAAACCGTGCATAGCCATAATATTTAAATAATCTTGTGAGGATGCTGATAAGTTACATGACAGAATATCTAAGTTAATATCACCAGTAAATATTACATTTTAGTTGAAATACTAGTTAAGACCGCGTGGTTCTTATATGCAAAGGGTGCGTGAACCCTTTGTCGGGAGACAAAATACCGATTCTGATCGGGGAACAGGCGTGAATCCCGCGAAAACAATCCGCATTCACGTTCACGTCTGTTTATGGAGCTTCACGGCGGTAATGTGGAGCCGCGGTGACGACTTACTAACTCCATATTACTTATATTTATATATTTCGCAATGGAGTTGACCAAATCCCTTGTAAGACTGAGAACTCAGTGACAATACTTGAGCGAGTGATATGATAATGCTCGAAAGACCTTGGAGCTAGTTGACTGTGGGCGATAGTTTCCTACTAAAGTTTGACAAGTAAACTTTATGGCTGCATATACAAGTGCTAGTTTGTATGACTCCTTTTTCGCCTAGGAGTCCGTCGGGTACCAATTTCCGGTATCATCCTCTTACCTTTCTCTGTATGAATTGTAAAGAGAGTGACAACCGATGCATAGCCAGTTGTTTAAAGCTCTTTTGTATTTATCCTTATGTTGAATACGATGAAAACCTTGAGTTATTGTTACTTTCCTGTATTTTTTATTTTCCTTTTATTTCTTAATAGCTTTAGCGGCAGTACCTTCACGAAACGCATACGCGTTATCGTTACCATATAATTCTTCTTTATTTAATTCACCAGACTTTATAAACATTTTCAAATCTTGATTGTTATGTTTAGTTTTAATTCTTTTTTTTAGTTATTATATATTTAGTTTTTTTAGTTGTTGGACCTTCCCTGCCTTAAGTTTACTGGTTGGTTAGTTGGGTCTAGTTAGGGATCTGGCAAATTGCATGGAATTATTGAAATATATGTATGCACTGATTCAATATTTCTTTCATTCATTCATTAATCCAAATACTCACTTAATTGTGTTTTTTTTTGTAGAATACAGCTGACTTTCAAGCACCATATCCACCTACGTCTATCCTCGATTAAGAGTCAAAATGCAGTTGCGTTTTCGCTCCTGACGACTAAGATAGAATGGCACGTTTCCAGTAAAAAGGATAACCTATTTTCTAGAGTCACCATTCGAAACGCAGCAGCATTAAGTTGTATTTTACGCTGGTATTCTAAGAGAGCGTGGTTCTTATATGCTCGAGATGACCTATTCGTGCTACAAACATATTATACCTCATAAATCTGACAATCATTTGACTGGCGAGGCAGCAAAAGGCCAAGCTAATAAAAATTTTAAATGTCATATTGGACTATTTTCACTTACCTGTGAAATTACATATGTTGAACTGCTAATGTTTTTGTGAAGATTTCGAGCCATGATTATCAAGGTCCGGCTATTCATTGCCACTGGCAAGGTTCTTGAGGACAAGTCTCCTAGCTGTGGGGAAAATACCCGATCAGAAATTTCCAACGCTCGCAACAAACTTCCTTGTTTTTATGTCGTCAGACGTGCTTTCCGTTCAATACACAGGTGATTTCTTAATGTATATTGATAAAGATATGAAAATTTATCAGCTAAGATTTGCATAAAGATATCATTGATGTATCTCTATTTAGTTAGAAGAACACTTTTTTTCCCTCCTTACATTGTGTGTACTATACACTACACTAGGAAACACACCGACGTCAATAATACGACACTTGTTCCGCCTCTAAACGTAGCATCGTCAAGAGATACTTTTTCAGATGATTCCTTGTTGTAATGAATTTTAACTAATGAATTTTAACATCTTTTATGTAATGAATGGTAAAATATATTTGTGTTATGATTTTAAATTAATTGTTATTATTTATTTTGTCAGTTCGTGATAGTCCAGTCCTCCTAGGCGTATGAACCTTATTATTAATTTACCAAAATTGCAAGACCAGATGTACTCCCTTTCCACGGACTAGCTATTTTATCGGATGTTAAGCGAGATTGCATCACTGTCTATAGTATGAATCTTTCGCCGTAGTCACCTCTAAAGGCACTTTCTTACGCCATCGCCAGACGAAAATCCTGCATATTATTATCAAAACTTCCAATGTACAAACAACTTACAAAAAAACTTGGTGCAATTATTTTGATCTCGAATGCCTTATTTTACTTTTTTAGCGTATTAAAATACTTTCAATTTGTGGAAATTGTACAAAAGTGTATATTTTAATTTGAGTATTTAAAACTTTTTACCCAATCCCAAAACATTTAATCTACATACATACATAAACACTTATGTCGATCACCCAGAGGGGTAGACAGAGACTATAGACTTCCATTGGTACGGCTCTGATACACCTCTCTTGCCTTCTCCACATTTATATACCTACGCATACATGCTCGTCGGTTAAGGATACCCCTAGTTAGGCCCATTTTCAATATATCGCCAATTTGGTCGACAAAATTTCGCCTGGGACGTCCCTTTCCGACTCTTCTATTCAGTTCCGCAACATAAATTTGTTTTATCACTCTTTCTTCATTTAATTTTTCTACATGACCTTACCGCCGAAGCATTCCTTTCTTAATCCTATTTACAGCATTATCTCGCTAACCACACCTCCTTTATCACACAATTTCTCACCCTGTCACTCGGACTCCTTAACGACTGCATTTCTACTGCATTTATTCCACTCTCGTGATTTTTCTGCCACACCCGACTCTCACTACCATACGTTAAAGTAGGGACTAACACAGCATTGTGAATTGTTATATGTGCTTTTTTGACATATTCTGACTTTTCAAAATAGAGTGTAGAGCCCTATTTACTTTATTTCCTTTATCAAATATTGAATATGATACAAAATTCAAAATAAAAGAAAAAACTTTTTACTTTAACCAATATTTTTAATAATAAATGTGTATAATTGTTTATTTAACAAGATATCTTTTAGTTAAGTTTACCACTTGGAAAACGTACTGCTGCCAACAAAGAGGCAAGACCGATAGAGATTGCGTTCCAAACAAAATACCCGACGATGATCCTGTTCATCGCTTCTCCAATATAAGATGTGTGAACTTGACCAGACCTGAAAGTTATCAATCTGTCGGCTGCATCAGAAATGACATAGTTCCTGAAAGGGTAAGTACAGTATGCTAGTTGGTTATCAGTAAGTTCTTTTTCACTGTCCGGGTAAGTACAATTCTTTTATTCAATTCTATCATCAAGCAAAATGCGTCCAAATATATGTTTCTGTATTCAAAGGTGGCAACGGAACATCAGTAGCCTTTCACTATCGGGTGTAATAATAGTTTGTTTGTTGCTCTCATCTTTATCATCACTACAGTCCATAACAACTCTACTCCTAAACAGTGTCTTTTCTCCAAGAAATGCAATAAAGCACGGTCCTAGGCTACCCGCATCCATTGACTTCCTGGATCCTTTAACAGTTCGTCACTCCACCTAGTATGGGGCCGCCCAACACTTCAATTAACGCTACGGGGTTCTCCTCCTTTGCCCCTCGTAAACCTTTCTTGTATTATAAGAATATTCACCAACCCTTGTCATCCTGTGGGTATCTTAAGAAGCGGAGAGAAACAAACCAGGAGATGGGGAGCAGCGTCTTCCTAATAACTACTACAAAAACGGTGGTTGCTAACCCGCCAGATAGGCGTGGCAAATACCACCCTATGAGGCAATCTGTGGAAGCTATCATATCAACCTGGGAAGGCTTGTGTTCAGTAGTGGACTTTTAATAGGCTGTATTGGTAAACGTAAATAGATCTTTGTGATTTTATTTCCACAAAATTATTTGAACATAGTCTTTCCCTGTAAATTTTTACAAATAATTGAATTTGAATAACATCATAATTATATTAAATATAAAATCTAGTATATACCTATATATATATATATATATATATATATATATATATATATATATATATATATATGAACATAAACACTCACGCCTGTCACCCAGAGGGGTATAGGAGGCATAGACTACAGACTTCCATTTGGCACGATCCTGACACACCTCTCTCGCCTCCTTCACATCCATACACACACACACACACACACACACACACATATATATATATATATATATACGTTAACAAGTATGATCTACATGTGTATGTTTGCGGTTGGCTGGTAGAAAATGCCATGTGGCATTAAGTCGCCATTTGTACCTTTATTACAACAAAGTGTAAATAAATAAAAATAAGTAAATAAAAATAAAACATCAACACCATTGTAAATATAAACCATCAAGTCATTTCTCTATTTAGTGAATACAAACTTTTATTAAACATCATATATCAAGAATAACTCAATTGGTGATTGGTGTCTCGGGGTTTAATTTTACAGTACGCACGAAACTCAAGGGTCGATATTTTACATGCATAACGATAAAGATAACATTGTCAGGAAACATACATATTATCTGAGGAATAAAAACATTTCGAAGTGAGCGAGTGAGCATCATAGTGGACCAATCGCTTCATAACTCTCTTAGAACAGTGAGAAGCCTGATTTAGTTCGTGCTCGGCTATGAAGGAAAACATCGTAAGGAAACCTACATGCCTGAGATATAAAAAAAATTCGTAGATATGTAAAGTTTAGCAACAAGCATTGGGGCACCACGGCGGACATTTCCTTGTCCTAAAACCTTCTCAGAAATGAGAGTTTGCCTGTGCCACGCAATGGGACGTATACAGGCTGTAACTTTAACTTTATGTAATAACGAATTCAGGTTACATAAGAAACCTGACTATTATATACTCGTGTTAAGCTGTTATTATATCCTCTCTCTCCTTCCTCGTTCTTCTTGAGCCGATCCATACGCGCTGCGGCGTGGCTCTACTTGTTACACGTTGAAAACCATATTAAATTATATTTTATTTGATTTTATTCATTTACTAAATAAATATTAAACAATATATACAAACATACATAAACACTCACGCCTGCCACCCAGAGGGGTAGGCTGAGACTACAGACTTCCATTTGGCACGATCCTGACACACTTCTCTCGCCTTCTTCACATTCATATACCTACGCATACATGCTCGTCGATTAAGGGTACTCTTATTTTGGCCTGTTTTCATTAAAACGCCAATTTGGTCGATAAATTTTCTTTCCAACTCTGTCATTCACTTCTGCAACATAAATTTTCTTTGTCACTCTTTCCTCATTCATTCTTTCCACATGACCAAACCACTGAAGCATTCCTTTCTTAATCCTGGTCACAACATTATCTTGCAAACCACACTCATCTCTTATCACACAATTTCTCACCCTGTCACTCAGATTCAGCCCTAACATACTCCTTAACGACCGCATTTCTACTGCATTCATTCTACTCTCGTGCTTCTTCTGCCACACCCAACTTTCACTACCATACGTTAAAGTAGGGACCAACATAGCATTAAACAACTTTAAATGGAAAAAATATAAAGTTTCTTAATTTTACAGATTCTGTCCACAACACCGGCATTCGATCTATCGGTATTATATGGCACTACATTACAATCAATATTGGAAAAAGGCCGTCTTTTCAAAGGTGGGCTGCGAAAATATAAAGTAGAAAAGCGAAGAATATGGCCACCTAGTGTAAAAACAGGAAGTGGTGTATGTTTCTTGAACCAAAAACCGCAAGAAACCCGATGTCATAGTACAGGTAAGGCAAATCACTTTTAATGATAAGTTCTTTAAATCAGTTATGGTTTTGTTGTTGAAGTGTTCAATATTTATGACAGATAACCTTATTCGATGCAGTTGTGTTTATTAAATAGAACAAAGCGGGCCACACGCGGACCGGAAGGGTGTAGCCATACGCAAGTGTTCCCCTCTGTCAATTTACAAGTTGACGTGCTTCTGTACGTACAATAAAAGTAGTGCAATAAAACTACCTAAAAATTGTAGCGGCGCTGTCGTCGCCGCCACAAGCGAAAACACACCGAAGCCTAAATCGCGCTATCAACATTCCGAATCATAAACAGTATATATAGAACATCTCCGAATTATCACACGGAGTGTGAGCCGCTCCCCGGGCAGAACACCTTGCCCGGCGGGAGATCTCCCTTTTCCTACCACGGCCACAGTGGTGACCCCGACGTGATCTGAACACGCAACCAACAACCTTCGGAAACTTCAAGCTTCATCATCGTCATAGAATACCCCACCCATTCGCTCCCGAGCAGATATCGTCTGCAGTCTTCATATCCTGCAAGCCATCTAGCTTCACAAGGTTCATCGCAGCATTGGAATAATAATGCTTCCTGTTCCTTCAAGCTACTCTCTGCGCCATACAGTGTTCGGCACGGCTCTGAGCCTTACTGCTCGCCTCTGCTTCACGGCACTCTCGCAGATTACTTGCCTTCTTCTCGACTCACCGCAGACTACAAGGCAATCCACTGGCACTTGCACATTCGTCGGCAACAAGGCTGCACTAACGACCTCCGGTCTGAGCAGGGGGGTGATGTAGCGGCGCTGTCGTCGCCGCCACAAGCGAAAACACACCGAAGCCTAAATCGCGCTATCAACATTCCGAATCATAAACAGTATATATAGAACATCTCCGAATTATCACACGGAGTGTCGGCGCGCCCCGGGCAGAACACCTTGCCCGGCGGGAGATCTCCCCTTTTCCTTTCACGGCCACAAAATAAATAAAAATAACTTTAATTGGTCCAAATTTATTTGTTTATATCCGTGTAATAAATTAAGAAGCGTAAATTACTTTTCACCATATTAATATAATGGATTTCCGCAAAGTAACGCCTGCTTCTATTTAAATTAATTGCAATCTCACTGCTCACTAGACTAAATCTAGTTGCGTGACCAAATTGACGTCCTACAAAAATACCGATTGGTAAGTTTTTTTTGCCGTAAAAATAGATCTGCCACGTCAAATTTACAAAAAGGTGGGTGAAACTTTTATATTTAAGTAATTTTTAATCACATTATTGTATTTATTCGTTTCAAACTGTAAAATTGTAATAATAACGGTCGTGTTATTTCGGATTTGCTTACCAACCGCTCGGCATAATACAATATGCATATCAGTCGACCGACTGGCCCCAGTTGTTGCTGTCACCGAACGATATTGATATTTTTGTGTGAAATCGTTAGTTTATTATTTTACTTGTTATGTGTTAGTATCGTAGTGACAGGCGATTGTTTTTTGTGCACATATTTCTCCCCGCAAAAACTGACAGACAATCCTGTATCGTTAAAAACCTATGAAAAATTTCTATGCCTACTCCCCTCCGGTCCGCCGGTGGCCCTTGTTGCTCTATAGCTTATTGTTTTTATAAGTAACGATTTTACTGAATATATATACTTTATTGACACTACAAACATCCCGATATTATTATTTATGAGTAATATATTATCAAGATATGAAATTGATTAAGAATTACTGTTCAAATCCCGGGTCGGGGTAAAAACAGTTATTTAGTTTTCTGTCAAGATACTCTCAGTAGCAACCCGGATTCGGGAAGTTGGCGGTGTTTCATCCCCGAGCCTCAGAAACACGTTAAGTGGTTCGTTTTGCGCCTGGTGTCATACACACACACGAATAAACACACACACACACACACACACACACACACACACACATACACACACATACACACACACACACACACACACACACACACACACACACACACACACACACGCACACACACAAACACATACACACACACGCACACACACACACACACACACAGAGACACACACACACACGCACGCACACACACACGCACACACGCACACACTCACACCCGCACACACGCACACACGCACGCGCGCACACACGCACATCTTCTCATCATGTATACGTCAAAAAATAGAAACGAGATTGTAAAACCAGTGCGTGTTGCCAGTGATGACTTATGAATATGAGACGCGATCTTTCACTGCTACCCATAAGAGGTCGCTCTAGGTTGCACAGCAAGCTGTGGAGAGGGCTATGGTCGGGGTTTCTTTGCATGATTAAATAAAAAATGAGGATATCTGCTGTAGAATCAGAGCAACCGACACAGCCTTCATATCAGTGGCGGCCCTCACTATGTAGAGTGGCGATCTGGTAAGGCATGCAGGAAGTCAATGTATGCAGTAGGCTCATAAGTGTTAATTTATTGGGGGAGGCCTATGTTCAGCAGTGGACTTGCGAAGGACTGTAATCATGACGAGGTAAAATTTACGGTTTATCAAAATTGTCCTACACCTGATTTTTGTCCAGTGTGGTACTTATGGATCCTATATTTATGTGGGACTTGTAACAAAACTGAATGTGCTACCTGTTTGCTAGCTAACCAATTATCACTTCTTTCAAAATTTTCCATCTAAACCCATTCATTTGGCTAATAGTTGTCGGAGCCGCTCAAAGACTCTATAAATTCTCTATGGAGCAGCTGCTCTTTGGTTCTGTCTATCTCCTCGAGGATAATAAACATAACGTTGTGTATGCTTGATTTTTCTCTATTTAATATCCATTTGTTTCAGTTGATGACAGCATGAACAGATTAGCGGGAGTTAATTTGTTAAGCGTCTGGTTTTAGAGACTTTCATTGCCACTGGACTGTCTAAAGTCAATCCTTGCTGGAACTATGACAAGGTGTTTTACACGGCTCGTGATATAAATATTGTTACGCTATGTTAATAACATTCGTTTCTTTAGGTCATAAAAATCTATTAAAAGATGGAGTATTATCACCCACGCCTGGATTCACTCAAATATCACTGGAGTTCCCACTTGTTCTTCGTTGGTTCCATACAACGCACGAAGGAAATATGAAGTAAGTTATAATACTGTTAATTATTAGATTATATTACCGAGACAGTATTTTTTTAGAAATAAGGGGAGAAAACACGCTTACAATCTCACCGATGATACAAATTTCATCGAAAGTTGATAGTAGAAAATGTAGCCTTGGTATTTTTCTACACTTTTCTATGGCCTTTTACACGGTGTCCAGACAAATACTGTTGAAGAAGCTCAGAGGTTTTGAAATCCGCGGCACTGCATGGAATTGGTGTCAGAGCTATCTTATCTTACTAGTTGATACCAAAGTGTGAGAATAGGGCCTGATCACAAAGTTCTCAGCTCCCGGTGACTTTTGGGGTGCCTCAGGCAGTATTCTCGGGCTGACCATTTTGGTCCCGCATATAAATGACCTTCTGGAACTCAAAAGTACCTCAGTGTGAAACAATTTGTTACGCAGATGACACCGTTGTAGTATTTTATGGTTGGCATGGTGGAGTATACTCGATTAAGAATCAAAATGCTATGTGTATTTTGATTCTTAATTGTCACCTCTATGGACTGTGATAGAATGCCTCGTTACCAGTAAAAAGAGTCACCGATTCTCTACAATCACCGCCTGAAACGCAACAATATTAAGCCGCTATTTCACGCTTATATTCTGTAAGAGCGTGGTCTATGCAGCGTGAATCTAGAACCTGTAGCCATTACATGCAAAAATATTTGTTCACCTGATGGTAATAATTGGACATTTTTTAAAGTTAAGTGATTTCCAATTTCAATCGTTTCTTCATATATGTAATCGATAGTACAATTGAAATCATCGTTATCATCATAATCATCGTATTATTCCAATACTGCCTTTTTAGCAAAATTTGAAGAAAAAGTATGCAATGCATTTGTAATAAAGTTCAGTATTGTCTTGTAATAATTTTTGTAATATTCACGCTTAATGACCGGATTGATAACCGCAACACCCCAGCAGCATCTCGCACTTTTAACGCTTGTGTCTTTCGTTAGTCTTGGGACTGTAAGCTTCGAGTAAATAAGATGATTATACTGCCTCTATTGTAAACAATAACAGCGTCCGAGCATCATCCGAGCATCATACGACACCAATGAGACCAAATGGCCCGATGAACTCTCTTAAGCCGCCTGAACACGACAAGGGACAACGACCCTGTTTAATACAGAGTTTTTTTAGCTTGTATGACACTCACGGCAACTATCTAAAGAAAGTTCCAATTGTAAACATAACTCTAAGAACTGGATTCTTTGGTGCGGATGAAAATATGGATTATGTAACGCAAGGAAACTTTAGGCAAGCGACGGGTAAAGCTGACTACATCGTTGATCCTGATGTAAGTAGAAAACATTTTTATAAGAACGTTCTAATTATGACCGGTTGTGTTCAATGGCTTGTTCGTTGTCACATGAAGCGTATATAATGAATACATACGGTGCAAACAAAGAAATAATATATACAATACAATGATTTTGTTAAATATTACAATTTTGTTGGTTCACCTGATTTATATTACAACAATTAGAAGTAATTAAACTTTCATGATAAGTTAACAAATATTATATGTAATGTGAATCACTATTACAGCCCATGAAAGCCTGCAACTTAATACCCTTATAAGTTTTTTGTTTAACTGTAAACCTACAAGATTTAAAGAAAGCTATAAACGCGCTGTCGCTCCTGAGGGCTAAATGTCTCAGAGCCTGTAATTATAATCTATCTCTTATTTATCAAATCATAACATGGCAGTTGTACACTGAATAGAAATAGACAAGAGAGTAGTAACGACCTAAATTGACTCCTAGATAAGAAGAAGGAAGAGAGTCCCAACATCTTATGCGTAGGCGTCAGTATCATATTATATTTTGACTGTATTATAACTCGCCTTCCTACTGTGATGAGTATGAACACTACAGAAAAAACATTAAAGATAAAGAAAACTTTGGTAGATTTTGTCTTCATCTGACACTACTCAGATCAAATTGTTCTGCTTAGAGCTAACTTCTATTCCATTCGATTCTTTACGAAGTCTTGTTAATTTTGATGAATTATTTTTTTAAATATATCTTAATTTCAGGTCGCCGAGGTGGGTCTAGGTCCACAGCAACGCGCTACAAACCTTTTAACGAGTGATTTGGCGAAGAATCGGTTATTTGGTTTCCAGCCGTATATTAAATACAAATAATTTTGTTTCAAACAATTGTTTAAAAGTTTATGACTTACTTCAAGCTATTGATCCAGAGGTACGCATACGCCCATAATTAGTGAATAATTACTTAGTAAGTAGTAATAATTACTCAGTAAGTAATAAGTAGTAATCAATGACTTTTACGATTGAATAAATTTATCCAAATCTTTAATATTGGACCAAAAGATTAAATTCAAACTCATATCAATCTATTTACAGAGTGTTGGTCTACTTTGAAAATAATTTGGTGGATTTATTATACAAGAATTGTGCCGTGTATTGGCGGTTGAGAATATCCACTACCCCATATCTTCCCGTGGGTGTCGTAAGAGGCGACAGAGGGAGACAGGCAGGAGATGGGCAGCAGCATCTTCCTGATAACAACTGTGATATAATAAAAAACTGCGGTTGCAAACCCGCTCGCCAAGCGTGGCAACTGTAGCAAATATCCCCCATGAATAACGACGCAAACAAACGGCCCCCAGTCTCCGGCGGCCCCGCTATTCCTGGTGCTAAGAACCTTCGATGGAGGTTCGGTTGCCACCTACGACGACTCGACCTGGCAACATGTAACGCACGCACCCTGAGGACTGACGAGAAGATACTGGAGCTGGAAGAAGAGGTAGACAAGTTGCGCTGGCATATTATTGGATTATGCAAGGTCCGAAGAGAGGGGGAGGACACGGTGATCCTCGAGTCCGGCAACTTGTTCTATCACCGGGAGGGCGACCATCTTTCCCAAGGAGGTGTCGGATTTATCGTCCACAAGTCTCTCGTCAATGACGTTGTAAAGATTGGGAGTGTGTCGACGAGGGTCTCGTACCTGATACTCAGAATCACCAAACGTTATTCGCTGAAGGTCATACAGGTTTACGCACCAACCTCGGCACATCCCGATGAGGAGGTGAAGGAAATGTGTGAGGATATTTCCAGAGCCATGCATTCCTCCAAAACCCACTACACGGTGTTGATGGGAGACTTCAACGTAAAACTAGGCACAAGAGAAAGCGGTGAGCTGAAGGTAGGGAAATTTGGGGTAGGGCAACGGAATCGAAGGGGCCAGCAGCTGGCCGACTTTATGGAGAAATAGGGACTCTTTATGATGAACTCTTTCTTCCAGAAGCGGCCCCACAGGTAGTGGACCTGGTCGAGCCCCGACGGTTCGACAAAAAATGAGATTGACTTCATTATGACGACCAGACGCCAACTGTTCAGTGATGTCTCAGTGATCGCAAGGGTGAAAACTGGCAGCGATTACCGAATGGTTAGAGGCACACTGAACCTAAACGTTAAGTTGGAGAGGTCTCGTCTAATGAAGTCAACGCTCCGTCCCCTTCGTGCTCTAATCCAGAGTCCCAAAACCTTTCAGCTCGAGTTACAAAACCGTTTTCAGTGCCTAGAAGACTGCAATGCAGTGAACGATATGAATGACAAGCTCGTGGAAACTGTCCATACGGTCGGAGCTAAGTTCTGCAAGACCCGCTGCAGAAGAACGCAAAAACTCTCCGATCACACTCTTAATCTCATGGCTGTTAGACGGGAGGTGAGGCTGCAATCGTCAACAGATTTGACAGCATACAGGCAACTGCACAGACAAATCTCCAAATGCATGCGGCGAGACTTACGCAACTTTAATACTGCTCGTATTAAAGAAGCGATCGAGCGGAACCAGGGCTCCAAAGTCTTTGCCAGAGATCTGTCTGCCAGAAAGAGCCAGGAGTTTACGAGAATGTGGAAGACATAGATCTAATTGCTGGAATTTGGCTCGAGAAATTGATCGAGGGTGGTAATGTACCACCTACTTTGTACTGTGTTGTGGTGGAACAATTGCTTAGGGTTATCGCGTCAGACAGACATTGGTATGAGCGCCCCAACCGACCGAACGCATTTACAAATGGTTAGTGTTATGTATATCCATTACGTTATCGTTAAGATTTTATCATGCTCTCATAAACGAAGATAATGAACAATTATTAGGCAGCGATTAACATTCGATTAAAATCACTGTACCGTGTAGATGCGGTGTAAGAATATCTACCATTCAAAATCTTACCGTCGGTGTCGTAAAGGGCGACAGGGGGGAAACAAATTTAATGGGCAGCAGCATCTTTCTAATGACGACCAAAATAAAAAAAAACTGCGGTTACCAACCCGCTTGCAAAGCGTAGCAACTATGGCATCTTGAGACTGACTTTGGATTGCATCATAGGGGGATACCCTATGATGAAATACCCAGTTGCAAATAGGCTGTAGCGATAACGGTAACGGTAAAATTAATTGACTATATTGAATATGCTAACAATTATTTAAATGATGTATTCTTTTTATATCTCTTAATGTTTTGTATTTGTCGGAGAAATGTATTTTCTTTATTTTGATCTATATGCTTAATAACTAAACACGTTTCCTTATTTACTCAAGAACAACTACAGGAGATCAGGAAAGCTACGGTGGCGCGCTTGCTGTGTGACGTCGGCGATAAAGTGACCACATACAACGTCAAGCGTTCTACAGGATAAGCGCAAAGTACGTACAGCCTAAAACAATTATTAGTTTGGGAATCTATTTTAAATGTTTTTTGAGATTTCATATTAAAAATAGTTATTTAATTAAGAAATAATGTGAGACACAGTGTGTTGCGGCCTAAGAATCCTCAGTCTCATCTTGCGGTAGTAAGTCAGGGTGATGAATTGTTTTATCCATTCACTATCTTTAGCTATCGATTTGTGTAATAAAATTTTCGATATAGATGATAGATATGTAGTTTCAACGCCAATCTGTATCCCCCAATTTTCTTATCATCAGTTTCGAAATGCCTCCC